GCCTGGGTATGAGTCAGCCTGGGAGTGAGTCAGCTAGGTCACTTCAGGTTAGGCTAGGAGGCTCTGCAGGTCAGGGCTTCTGGTGCCCTTCCACTTTTCCAGACATTTCTGGCACTTTCTAGAAGAAAGGCAGAGGAGGGGAGGAGGCCTAGATTTGCTTTTTTCAGGGAACATGGTCAATCCCCAGGCAGGAGGCTGGGCATGGTGGCTAGGACAAACCCTAAATGTGAGAGAGCCTGATCAGCAGAGTGGAGTTGAAATCGGGTGGAATATGGAGTGGGGGGGGGGGGGGGGACTACAGGCTGAAGCAGAAGGACCTACACTGTCCCACAGTCTACTTAGGAGACACAGCCTGTTAGCATTGAAGGAGCCAGCCCAGCATAAGGCCTGACAACAGCTGCAACCCATTAAGGTACAGGAACAGGGCAGTGTGAGTACTGCTACACCACCTGGGCCAAAGAAGGGAGAGGGCAGTAAGGTGCAATACCCAACTAGCTCTTCCAGGGACTACTTCATCTGTAGATCTCGGAATCCCTTGCTTAGGGACACTCTCAGGACAGCCAGGTGGATGGGGAGATTTTCATTTGGGGTCTGAGGAGGTTCACTAAGGGGACCAAGTGCTCCTTACAAAGACTGTGTGCTGATTATTTTGTCTTTTTTGCTAAGAAGTTTGTCCTCCAAAGTTTTACAGTTCCATCAGCATCCCACATATCCCTAGACCCCATCCAAGTTGTTAACTGCTAATAAAACAACAAAAACCAAGCTCAAGGACTGTCTTACCGATTTTGGATGAACGTGTGGAAAATGCATGTTGCCTGGCTGTGCAGAGCTTGGGGGGAGGACCCAAAAACTCAGCGGCCCTCGAGAGGGTACACTACATAAAAAAAAAAATCATGAATTATAACATGTGTAGAGGATTATAAGGAGACATTAAGGTGTGAGATTTCATATGGAGTTTTGAAAGTTTTTAACTAACTATATCACCGCTTACCTGTACACTGAACTTGCCATAATTGTAGCTTCTGAACAGTCAGATTTAATGCCCCTTGTACCCTAATACTCCTGCCATCCATTAATGTTTTTGAAAATGTTCTTAATGATCCTCATTGATGGAACACTATCCACATAAGTATTAGGCTCCATGCACATTGGGCATTTTAATAATGCTGGTAAAGTTAGCTGTGTCAAGTCATGTTAAAAACGTGAGTTTTTCAGCTTTTTTTAGCATTTTTGTAATAGTGTTTAGTGGCGTCTTGCCGCGTTTTTTTACCAAAAAAATTTTTGTTGTCACTTGTTCTGGGTTTTTTTCCAGCCAAAAAATGCCCCTGCCAAAAAAATGTTGATTACAGTCTATGTGTGCATAGACATGTCATGGGATGACATGCTGGGGCGTTTACTGGCTGTGGAAAAAAACATCAAAAGCCAAAAACAGCAGCTGTAAAAACATCCAGTGTGCTGGAGGACTTAGGTACATAGTTTGACCAACACCCCCCCCTTTTTTTTCCCACCCAACCCATGTACAGGCATATACTTGGGTTTATTTGCAGGCCTTAATTTCTAACATGCATTGTTGAATGTGACTCCTCGCCTTTCTGTTATGCCTACTTTTATACAACGCACCTGATATTCTATGTACTACATACTGCCCAGTGCTGTATATGCAAGTTTCACTCTGAATGTACTAAAACTGTTAAACACGAAATACAACTTTGAAAGCAAATGAATATATTGACCTAGCTTCACCTGCTGAAATGTAACCAAACCTTCAAAAGAATTGCAATTTAGAAATCCAAGGGCAAGGTGGGTTTAGGGCAAAGCCAATTGAAAAATGACTTGAGGTCTGAGGACATAAACTAAAGAAATCTGTTTCATTCTGGCATAGCATGGTAGATTATGTGAGTTTAGCTCAGGTTTTGTTATTTGTAATCTACTGGGATAAAGGATCAACATTGCAAATTTTTCTTAAACTCCAGATTGTGTAGTTAGTTTTGTACGTGAGAAACAAATTATTTCTATCCTAAATTAATATTAGATATCCCTCCCGCATTATTTAACCTATTTTCCAAACCATAAGACCTTGTTCATGCCAGCTGCATTGGGCTGCATTAAGCAGCATTGCCCAAGGCAGACTAAGTGCAAGAACAAGGTGATTAGTCTTATGTCCTATGGCTTCAGTATACACCACTGTCCTGAAAAAAAGTAGGACGTGATGCATTTTTGCAAAGTGCGTTACAACATATTGTAATGCTTTGGGATTCAAATTTAGAATTACATACAGCAGGGTAAAAAAAAAAACAATACAGCACAACAATGCAATACAGTGCTTGTTCACAGCATGCACCAGCATGCACATGTTGCATGCACATTAACTTGCATGCGTTGGTGTGAACAAACCCTTAAAGAAATTGTGAAGTCAGATTTTTTTCTAAAATAGCAGACATGTTATACTTACCTGCTCTGTGCAGTTGTTTTGCACAGAGCAGCCCTGATCCTCCTTTTCTCGAGTCCCCCACCGGTGCTCCTGACCCCTCCCTCCTGCCAAGTGCCCCCACAGCAAGTTTCTTGCATCTGAGCAGGCTTGCTCCCGAGCTTCTGCTCTGTATGTCTATTAACACATAGAGGCAGCTCTCTCCTCATTGGCTCACTGGCTGTGATTGACAGTAGCGGGAGCCAATGGCTCTGCTGGTGTCTCAGCCAATGAGGAGGGAGAGACCTGGGACAGCTGAGGCTCTTGTGCACATTGCTGGATGAAGATGGAGCTCAGGTAGGTATTGGGGAGGCGGAAGGCTGCTGCACACAGAAGGTTTTTTACCTTCATGCATAGAATGCATGAAGGTAAAAAAACCTTCAGCCTTTACAGCCAACTTTAAGAATATAGAAGTGTGCTTAATAAATTGCAAAATTATTGCAATAAGTAATATAAAAATGCAGTTAACTCATTGTAATCAATCTGCTACTATTTTCTCTATTAAAGCAACTGCAAACCCTTAAATAGTAAAATTTGACTGATTGGTTAATGTACAAGCTTCAGCCACAGGTCCTGCCCATTGGCTACACCTCTCCAATACATTTCTCCTGGATTGGGCTGAATCATAGAGGTACGACAGAAGGGCATGGCTATGGGGCTGGGACTGTAGCTGAAGTTTATACTTTCGATCACTTTTAGAAGTAGTTGATGCATATAGAGTGCAACCGAGGGCTTTGTATTACTGAGGATGGATGGAATGTGCTCCTTAGAGGGACCATCAACTGAGCTGGTGGGATGATATTTATTTATTTCAGGCACTTATATAGTGCTGTCAATTTATGCAGTGCTTTACATATATATTGTACATTCACATCAGTCCCTAACCCTCAAAGGGTGTACAATCTAAGGTCCCTAACTCACATTCATACATACACATATTAGGGCCAATTTAGACAGGATCCAGTTAACCTACCAGCATGTCTTTGGAGTGTGGGAGGAAACCAGAGTACCTGGAGGAAACCCACGCAAGCACAGGGAGAACATGCAAACTCCATGCAGGAGGCACCATGGTCGGGAATTGAACCCATGACCCATTTATTGCAAGGCAGATATGCTAACTACTAAGCCACTGTGCCGCCCCATGATACGCAGCAGGCTTTGAGCAGCACCATATCTGTGAAGTGTAATTCTATCTGTTGCCACAGGCTACTGTACTTTTCAAAATTTCATTGGCTGTCTTGTTGAATAAGTCCATATCAAATGAAAAAGGCATGTAATATCCTAAACATAGGCTGAGGATTTCCACATTGTAGTGCTGCGATAACAATGTATGCACCAAAATGGGATCCATTATTATGCAATCTCACTTCTGCATGCCAAAGGGATTTTTTACATTTTACAGATATTAATATTTTCTGAACTAACAAAGCTAAATTTTTAGTTTTTACACTGTATTCACTTGCTGATGTAAATGCAGTGCCCGGCTCTTATAGCTCCATGCACACTGGGCTAAAAAAAAATACTGCTTCTAGAAGAGTTTAGCATTTTGCCTGTAGAAGCAACTGGTGTTAACCTATTTGTCCATACACATTAGGTAGTCTAGAATTGTTTTAAAATCATCATTTCGAGGCAGAAAAAAACCCTTTGTATTTTGCGATTTTTGAGAGCATTTTTCTGGCAGAAAAAAAAAACACTTCTAAACGCTAGTACAAAAAAAAAATTTTTTTCTACCAAGAGCACTGGCGTTTTTTATAAGTTAGTGTACATGGAACCTAAATATTAGTTGTATATTATATTTCAAGTTGTTGCCTGACTGCACAGGTGTTTTCACATATCTTATCTCTCTTTTTGCACGACTGTCTAATGTGGGAAGATGGGTTTGTTAGAGTTTTGTTTACCGGCAATGGATGTGGAAATTTGTGGCTTATGGAAAGGTATTTTTTAATAGGAAGCTCTCTACCTAACTAACTTATGGGAAACTACACCTTTATTAGAGCTTTTTCTACTTAAAGATTTTGCTATGGTCTGCCTTACTTACCCTCATTGCTAAAATGATATCCATTTACATTATCACTAAGGGACATGTGAAATAACACATACAACAACCACATCAACAGGTGTGAAGGGGCCTTCATATTTAAACCATATGAATAAAATGTGACCAAAGTTTTTACCCCTGTAGCATTATAGTTTCTCTCAACCTGTGTCAGAGCAATTTTATGCTGGACAGCTTAGTTTGCTTGTAAATGTGTAGAAAAATATGAATAAAGGAATTTGGAATACATAAAGGGATGCATTTAGTGAATACTCTAATTACAAGCAATAAACACTCTAAATATCAGAATGCATCATGTTTAGAGAGATAGTCCTCTATACTTTGGTGGCAAAGATGTGTGTGGCGCTTTGTTAACGCGTGGAACCTAAGGGGTTAATCCTTTGCACTGTGTAAATCCTGGCTTCTCTGATCCTCCCCTTCTTCCAGTGTCCCTCTCTTATCTCCTGATAAGACATATTGTGTGGAGTCGCTATGCACATGCTCAGTTTGGTGTGTATTGTGAGAGAGGTTTTTTGTTTCTTGGGAGAGTGCATGTGATCAGCACAGGGTCAATCAGTACTGTCCAGACAGAGGTCAGGGGTTTTGCATCCTCCTAGAGCAGAAAGAAAACTCCTCCTACAAGCTTTAACCAGTGCCCTGCTGGACCTAGAATATGGAAGCCACAATACTTCTCTAACTGTTGATCAGAAAATGTATTTAGCAGTCTATTTTACTAAAATAATTGCATTTCCATGCTCTGTGTACTGTGGGAGACCAGATGTAGCGAGTCCAGGGTCCTGGGTTTAGTAAAACTTTAATGCCATGGTGTGGTTTATTCTTTTTGCAGTATAATGAGCACATTTTCCCTTTTCCCATCCATAACTGGAATGTCAATTTTAGAATTTTCTAGCTATGGTCAGTTTATTTTTTCTAGTGGTTTGTTTATAGAATAAAGTATGACAATTAACTTTAATTATGTTGGGGATTACAAAACAAATACATGCTATCCAAATTCCTACCCAGGCAAATTCATACAGCACTTCTCAAGAGTGTACCTTGGCAAATTAGTGAGCCAAATCTAGATATTTTCATTCAAAAACAGACATTTTAAAAATATTTGTCCAAAAAGTACTTTATGTAAAATTGTGTGTGCTTTATTTTATGCAAACCTGGGATTTATTTTGAAAAATAATTGTGTTTTCCAGCTTCACAAAAATCAGTAAACTGGAAATTTGGAGCAGATGAAGAAGTCTGGGTCTGGGTCATGGGTGAACATTCATCGGACAAACCGTATGATGTTATCTGTGATGAGATCATTGCAGAACAAGCACGCAAGCAAGCAGAAAAAGAAGCAGCGGAATGGAGGTAGGGTTACTACATATAATTATTGCCATATACTGTAAGTAAAACATTACAAAAAAACAAAAATACTGTATATGCAATATGTTTATGTTTTGATTAGGGAAACAGACTCTATGTAAGATTTGTACTGTTATCTTTGCCCCCATTAGGTAATTTTTCCACAATTTCTTGTCCAAATGACACAACAAGAAGCAAGAAAATGTCAATAGGACACCAGCAAGCAACCAAAACATTTGATAGGTTCTAACCTTTTCCAATTCCACTATAAAAAGTGATTTTATTGCTGTCTGTGTCTCCCATCAAAGATTCTTCCCACCAAAAAAGTAACTCTCATGTACACCTACCATCGCACTGTTTTCAGTCACCTGTTTTTTGTAACCTGTTTTTCGGGAACACCAATTGCTAAATCATGTGAATTTACAGACCAGTTTTTTCTAATTCCACCAACTCTAAGTTCCTTGCTATCTGCTTGCAAGATAGCAAGGAACCTACATGCTGCAAAGATATTACTTTTTTTAAGATTTTAGGCATAGGCACTCAGGGGCAGGAGCAAACTATTGCACACAAGAATGCTTACTGCCCCAAGTTTCTATGTCAACTTATCCAGTCAGGTACAAGAAATTTTTAACAAAACTGAAATATATTGTGAAGCTAATTTGGGTATTAGGAAAAAAAACAGACTAGAATTAAAGTAGATATAACCAAATCACTAAAATAAGCGTTAACATGTTAATGTATTTTCTATAGTTTTTATCTTTTTTGGTTCAATCTGCATTTATTTGTGTTTGCAAGAGAGAGCTTAAAGTGTTACTATTTTTATAAATTTCAGGTACTTATATAGCGCAGTCAATTTACACAGCGCTTTACATACAGTCATGGCCGAAATTGTTGGCACCCTTGATATTTCTCCAGGAAATCATGTATTTCTCACGAAACGTATTGCATTAACACATGTTTTGCTATACACATGTTTATTCCCTTTGTGTGTATTGGGACAAAACAAAAAAAGCGAGGAAAGAAAGCAAATTCGACATAATGTCACACAAACCTCCAAAAATGGGCTGGACAAAAGTATTGGCCCCTTTCACAACTGCGGATAAATAAGAATGTTACAAGCATGTGATGCTCCTGTAAACTCACCTGGGGCAAGTAACAGGTGTGGGCAATATAGAAATCACACCTGAAAGCAGATAAAAAGGAGAGACGTTCACTTAACCTTTGCATTGTGTGTCTGTCTGTGCCACACTAAGCATGGACAACAGAAAGAGGAGACGAGAACTGTCTGAGGACCTGAGAACCAAAATTGTGGCAAAATATCAACAATCTCAAGGTTACAAGTCCATCTCCAGAGAACTAGATTTGCCTTTGTCCACAGTGCGCAACATTATCAAGAAGTTTGCAACCCATGGCACTGTAGCTAATCTCCCTGGTCGTGGGACGGATGAGGAAAATTGATGAAAGATTGCAACGCAGAATAGTCCGGATGGTGGATAAGCAGCCCCAAACATGTTCCAAAGACATTCAAGCTGTCCTGCAGGCTCAGGGAGCATCAGTGTCAGCGCGAACTATTCCGTCGACATTTAAATGAAATGAAACGCTATGGCAGGAGACCCAGGAGGACCCCCACTGCTGACACAGAGACATAAAAAAGCAAGACTACAGTTTGCCAAAATGTACTTGAGTAAGCCAAAAGCCTTCTGGGAAAACGTCTTGTGGACAGATGAGACCAAGATAGAGCTTTTTTCGGTAAAGCACATCATTCTACTGTTTACCGAAAACGGAATGAGGCCTACAAAGAACAAAACACAGTACAGTACCACGGTAAAATATGGTGGAGGTTTCAATGATGTTTTTGGGGTTGTTTTGCTGCCTCTGGCACTGGTGCTTGACTGTGTGCAAGGCATCATGAAATCTGAGGATTACCAAAGGATTTTGGGTCGCACTGTAGGGCCCAGTGTCAGAAAGCTGGGTTTGCGTCCAAGATCCTGGGTCTTCCAGCAGGACAATGACCCCAAAATACGTCAAAAAGCACTCAGAAATGGATGGCAAAGAAGCGCTGGAGAGTTCTGAAGTGGCCAGCAATGAGCCCAGATCTAAATCCCATTGAACACCTGTGGAGAGATCTTAAAATTGCTGTTGGGAAAAGGTGTCCTTCCAATAAGAGAGACCTGGAGCTGTTTGCAAAGGAAGAGTGGTCCAAAATTCCGGGTGAGAGGTGTCAGAAGCTTATTGATGGTTATAGGAAGCGACTGATTTCAGTTATGTTTTCCAAAGGGTGTGCAACCAAATATTAAGTTAAGGGTGCCAATACTTTTTGTCCAGCCCATTTTTGGGGTTTTTTTGTGTGACATTATGTCATATTTGCTTTTCTGCCTCTGTTTTATATTTGTTCCAATACATACAAAGGGAATAAACATGTGTATAGCAAAACATGTGTTAATGCAATACCTTTTTTGTGTGAAATACTTGATTTTCAGGAAAATATCAAGGGTGCCAACAATTTCGGCCATGACTGTTTATATATTGTACATTCACATCAGTCCCTAACCCTCAAGGGTCGTACAATCTAAGGTCCCTAACTCACCTTCATATACTAGGGCCAATTTAGACAGGATCCAATTAACCTACCAGCATGTCTTTGGAGTGTGGGAGGAAACCCACACAGGCACAGGGAGAACATGCAAACTCCAGGCAGGAGGTGCCATGGCTGGGATTTGAACCAATGACCCTAGTACTGGTAGGTGGAAGTGCTAACTATTTAGCCACTGTGTTACTAAACCCTCAACAGTAAAATCAGTCTATATATGCAGTAAAGCATGCTTGTTATACTACCCATAAGTACTTCCCAATACAGTAGAAGGAATAGGGGAGGGGAAAAGAGGAAGGGGGGGGGGGAATTTGGGGAATAAAGATAAGTAAGGTGGTATAGTTCAACATGAACTAGCAGAAAAACCATGATAAGTGGTATAGGCACACAAATGGTAAAATCAATAAAGTCCATAAAAAGTCTCTGTATAATGGCGTGTTTGGTGGTTAATGGCTACCGTCCTATAGAGCAAGGCCAACTATGCAGAAATAAAGAGAGAAAAAAGGAGGCGCCAAAAACTAAGCGCAGATTATTGTTGTCACATTTAATGGATAGGTATAAAAAAGGGGTTAATCCTCTGCGTTGTGCAAAAATGCGACCACCACTTATCTCCAGACTGAACCGTAGGCATGCACATGCTCAGTTTGGTGTATATTGCAAAAGTGTTTTTTTTTTTTTCTTGGGAGAGTACATGTGATCAGCCCAGGGCCAATGTCCAGACAGAGGTCAGGGGATTTCCATCGTCCTAGAGCAGAAAGAAAACTCCTCCTGCAAGCTATAGCTAGTGCTGGGCTGGACACTGATAGAAGCCACAGGACTGCTCTAACTGCTGATGAGAAAAGGTATTTAGCAGTTTATATTTACTAAAATAATTGCACTTCAATTTTCTGTGTACTGTGGGAGACCGGATATAGTGGATGCAAGGTCCTGGGTTTAGTAACACTTTAAAGCATGATAAGATTATATAAAATTGCACAGCTAGACTGCATATCATATCATGCCAAGAGCAGGTAAAACAAATGTGAACTAATCAGTCAGATTGGCACACTGGGATGGTGGAAAGCTATTTGCTTCATAATACAAACACTGTTTAACTATAGTGCAATATATACAAACTAGCCTGGTTAAGTCTTGAGCTGTATATCACACTTACCCGTAGCGCAGGTGGTCAGGCACTATAGCTAGCTTCTGTGTTCTTCACCTATAGCAGCCCCCTTTCCCACAAGGCAAGCAGGTCTGCTGGTACTCAGTTGCCCCCAGGTCTTATACCCATTGCTATAGTGCCTGGCTACCATGTCAGGGCAGGCGAAAACGCAAGGTTCAGAATAGTCAGTATCAAATCCATAGTCAAAAGGCAGGCAGAGTTCAGAGAGTAGTCCAAGTTCCAATCCAAGGTCATAAATAGGGGAATCCAAACAGCAGAGCAGGGCAAAGAGGGAACTTGAAGCACGTGTTAAGCACACTATCACAAGGATGAGACTGAAGACTTGGCTGGCTTAAATCAGGTTTGTCTCTACTCAGAGACTGGCTACAAAAATCACTTTCCAGGTGGACAGGCAGACAGGGAGAATGCATCACAGCCAAAACCAGGGTGCTGGAACTGAGATTAGCAGTTGCCATGGAACAGGAGCATTTACATGATCCTGACAGATACCACAGAAAATCCAACACATGGAATATATGATTTGGAATTCCAGATGTTTTCTAACTATTTAACCTCTTCCTGTCCAGCCCATGCCGATAAACGGCCAGACGGGAGCGTTGCTGATGCTGGGGGACGTTTTAAAACAACCCCCACGTCCATTGCCAGTGCGCGCTTCCTGGGAGCGCGCAGCGCCGCGATCTGTGCCCGCTGTGTCCACCGTACACACTGGAACATAGAACGATGTACAGAACCGCTGTGTGAGGTCCCGATTCATGTGATCAGTGATTGGCCAATCAGTGATCACATCAACAGTAGTAAACAAGATGTCACTTCCTGACATCATGGTTTACTACTTGTGAATTCTGTGAATGATCACAGAGGTCACATGGTGCAAGGCTATTCACAACAGCCTTGTACCGTGTGACAAAGCTGTGACCAATTACAGCTCTCACAGTATTTCTCAATGGCTGCAGGAATGCAGGCAGAGAGAAGCAGAAATTATTGCTATTATAGCCTTTATGGGTGTAGACGCAATCAGTGTAAAAAAAAAATCTTCATTACCCCCCACAAGTAGTACAGTGTCACTATGGTGACACTGTACTGCTAGGGTGATGGTATGTAAAAAAAAAAAAAAAAAAAAAAAATAAATAATAATATAGAAAAAATAACATAAAAATGAAAAAAAATTTAAAAAATATTTTTTTTTCTAAACTGATTTGGTTTTTTTTTTTTTTTTACCAAAAAATAGCTGAATACATTTTGGCCAAAATTTATGAAGAAAGATTATTTATTTGCAAAACATTTTTATTTAATCTTTGGTCTTTCATTTATATGACAAAAAAAAAAAAAATCCCAGTTGTGAATAAATGCCACCAAAATAAAGTTTTATCTGTCTCAAAAAAATGCTAAACATTTAATTTGGGTACAGTGTTGCATGACCACACAATTGTCACTCAAAGTGTGACAGCGCTGAAAGCTGAAAATTGGCCTGGACTGGAAAGGGGTGAAAGCGTCCGGACTTGAAATGGCTAAACGTGCAACTTTTCTATAAAAAGAATATATGATGATCGTGCCATGTTGATCCTTGTTCAGGCACTTCCTGTTATGGGGTAACAACTGTTTCCTAATTGTCCTCCTAAAGGTGCATAGATTAGGAGACAGCCGGACAGATTGGGGTAGGTAGTTCCATAGGATGAGAGAACCTCGGGAGAAATCCTGGAGGTGAGCATAGGAGGAGGTGACATGGGAACTAGAGAGCAGAAGGTCTTGGGAGGATCGAAGAGAGCAATTCGGTTGATATTTTGAGACCAGGTTGGTGATGAAGCTGGGGGCAGAGTTCTGGATGGCTTTAAGTTGTTGTTAGTATTTTGAATTTTATTAATTGGGCGAGTGGAAGCCAGTGGAGGGATTGGCAGAGAGGGGTAGCAGACACTGAAATGTTGGTCAGGTGGATGAGCCTGGCAACAGTGTTCATGATGGACTGGAGAGGGGATAGCCTATGTAAAGGTAATCCAATGAGGAGGGAGTTGCAGTATTTGAGGCAAGAGATAACCAGGGAGTGAATTTGGAGCTTTGTGGTATCATTGGTTAAAAAGGGTCATATTCTGGAGATGTTGGGGAGGTTGAGGCGGCATGATTTGGACAGGCATTGGATGTGGGCCTATCCAAGGATAGTTTGGATTCCAGGGTTACCCCTAGCACCCTGGCATGCAGGGATGAGCTGATAGTGGTGCTATTGATCCTAACCGAGAAATCAGTCGAAGAAACGTGGGGGAGGAAAATATTATGAGCTCAGTTTTGGATAGATTGAGTTTTAGGAAATGGTGTGACATCCAGTCTCATATGTCTGTTAGTAAATCGGTGATACGTGAGGAAACTGATGGGGTGAACTGAGGAGTAGAGAGATAGATTTGTCAGCATAGAAATGGTATTGGTAACACTGAAGGTACGATGAGATAGGTAAGATTCGAACCAACGGAGAGTACAGTCACGGAGACCAAGTATATAGAGTTTTTTTTTGAGGAGGGGGTGGTCATCTGTGTCAAAGGCAGCAGAGAGGTCCAAGAGTGAGAGTACAGAATAGTGACCATTGGTTTTAACAGTTAGTAAGTCATGTGAGTTTTAGGAGAACAATTTCTGTGGAGTGTTGTGGGTGAAATCCAGACTGAAGGGGATCGAGAAGGTTATTCTTAATAAGGTGGCAGCTCAGCAGGTTGTAGACTAGACGTTCAAGGAGTTTGGAGGCAAAAGGGAGTAAGGAGTAAGGAGATGGGTCTTAGGTTGCTAAAATTGGTGGTGTCCAGTGAGGCCTTTTTAAGTTTGGGGGTGATTAGTGCATGTTTTAGAGAGTTGGAGAAGATGCCAGTAGAAAGGTATGAGTTAAAGAATGAAGGATAGAGCCAGAGGGTGACCATAGTATTTGTGAGAGAACAGGGTCCAGGTGGTTAGGTGGGCTTTAGAAAAAAGTTTACCAACCTCCTCTACAGTAGCTTTTGCAGTTCCGGGTAGGGGGGTAAATCATCTGAAGGACAAGTGGTTAATTATTATTATAATTATTATTATTGGTTAGTGTTAGGGGTTAATTAATTTATATATTATTTATGTATTACTATAAATTATTCATTTAATATATTTATTTTTATAATTATTATTTTATTTCATGTGATTTTTTTTTTTTTTTAATTACTGCATTTGAGCAGAAAAAAGTGCAACAAAGTGTGCAAAAAACTCACTCAAAACAGGGTGGATCGCACATATCAATGCATTTCTATGGAGGAAAGAATGCTTAAAAATTTGCACCAATCTGCCCGAATCGAGCTACAAAAGTAGCTCGAAAACTCTTTTGAGCTTTAGGTGTTTGGCTTCAGGTGACTTATAGTGTAGATGTGAACCATCTCCATAGAGAATAATTTATTTTTCCTCCCCAAGCATTTTGGAGCTTCGAGCTACAAAACACACAGGTGTGAATGGGTCCAAACAGTTTTGAATAAAAATTTAACACATTTTGTAAAGATGAAAAAAATGTATTGCCCCTAAAAGCAAATCCAGGAACAATATTTAGCTTGTGAGGTCCCAGTTTCATACTTCAAGCTACTGTATATTTTTTCTCATTACACAAAGTAAACAGATTGGGCTTGGCTGCCTTCAGGTACACCAGTATATGCACTTATTAGATGATTGTTAAGTTTGAATAAGTTAAATGAGGCAATAGTCTCTTATCTCAGCTTGCTTTCTCATTTATTCCATGCAGCCTGAATTAAATTATCTTTTGTCATATGTGATTCAGTAATAGCTGAGACTGGCATCTTTATCATTTCCTGTACAAAGGTTGAGTTGAGTGTGATAAATGTGTACTACTGCTGAAATAATGTGTATAGAATGCAAGTCGGAAAAACTGTGAAGACTGTCATGGAATTTATTTTACTAATTGCTTGGAATTTACCAAAAATATACAGTATGCATAGTGACTTTATACATTCAAGTACCATTAATGGTAATAATTTATTAGTGTCTTTAGACTGTGGTTGTGATTTTATAATTTATAAGTCAAAGCAGATTACAGTACATATTTAAATGGGTAATTAGAGTGGATCCACCACTGCCATTTGTACATGTGGAAAAATACACCGATCAGCCATACCATTATGACCACCCACCATGGCCCATTGAGGCATGAACTCCACTAGACCTCTGAAGGTATGCTGTAGTATCCAAGCCATCAGCAGCAGATCCTTTAAACCCCAAAAGCTGTGAATTGGACTTGTTTTTCAGTACATCCCACAGCTACTCAATTGGATTGAGATCTGGAGAATTTGGAGTCTAAATCAACACCTCAAACTCATTGTTGTGTTCCTCAAACCATTCTTGAATTCATCAGACCAGACCACCTTCTTCCATTGCTCCATGGTGCAATTCTGATGCTCTTGTGCATGTTGTAGGTGCTTTTATTATTATAATTAATATTCCAGGTGCTTATATAGTGCCATCAAATTACACAGTGCTTTACATATATATTGTACATTCACATCAGACCTTAACCCTCAAGGGGCGTATAATATAAGGCCCCTAACTCACATTCATACATACACAAACTAGGGACAATTTAGACAGGAGCCAAGTGACCTACCAACATGTCTTTGGAGTGTGGGAGGAAACTGAAGTACCTGGAAGAAATCCACAAATTCACAGGGAGAACATGCACCTCCATGCAGGTAGTGGTTGGCATTCAAACCAACAACCCTAGTGCTGCTAGGCAAGAGTACTCATCACTTAGCTACTGTGCTGTGGACACAGGTCAACATGTGCACCCTGTCAGGTCTGCCTCCATGAAGCCCCATATGCAAGAAACTGCGATGCACTGTGTGTTCTGACACCTTTTTATTGCAACCAACATTACCTTTCTCAGCAATTTGAGGTACAGTAGCGCTTCTATTGGATTGGTCTTGGCTGCCCATGACCCCGATTTGCCAGTTTTCCTTCCTTGGACCACTTTTGGTAGGTCCTGACCACTGCAAACTGGGAACATCCCACAAGAGCTGCAGTTTTGGAGCTGATCTGACCCAGTCATCTAGCCATTACAATTTGGTCCTTGTTGAAGTCGCTCAAATCATTACACTTGTCCATTTAATCTGCTTTCAACACATCATCAGGGACAACATGTTCACTTGCTGTCTAATATATCTCATCTACCTCCAGATGCCATTGTAATGAGATAATCAATGTTATTCACTTTACCTGTCAGTGGTCATAATGTTATGGCTGATCTGTGTATATACAGAGTCATGCAATACCAAAAGACATGCAATTCATGGAATGTAAATAGACTAATGAGCTTAAAGTGTATCTAAAGCATCTATATTTAGATAGAATAGGGAGTAAGGTTGGAACCTCTATCAGGTTTTCTTGCTTACTGTGGCAATTTCTCTGTATGTTCCAGTGACCACGGTCACTGTGGCAGAACAAGAGAAAATCCAACATTTTTAAAGTGGTTGTTAACACTTAAGTTTGTTCACCTTCATACATTCTATGCATGAAGGTACAAAAAAAGTATGTATCCAGCTCCCCCCTAATCCCATTCTTATACTTACCTGAGCCCAATCTCAACCCAAGAAAGAGTATGAAAGCAGAGGCTCTCTCCTCTTTCTCCCTCCATACATGGCAGATTGATAGCAGCGGGAGCCATTGACTCCTGCTGTTGCCGTCAATCAAATCCTATGATGAGGGAGACGTTGGCAGGATCTAGTTCCTGCTGTCTGTTTCTATTGACACAGACAGTTGGGCTTGGAAGCAAGCCTGCATGAGTGCCCCCAGAGAAAACCGCTTCCTATGGGGCACTGGTTGAGAAGGGGGAGCCAGGAGCTCCAGCATGAGACTCAAGAAGAGGAAGACAGGGGCTGCTCTGTGCAAAACCACATTTGTTCGTTTTTTTTGTTTTTAAATTTACCTTTAGAATCACTTTACGTTTTAACTGGAACATAATTAGGGACTTTCAGTGGGGACATTTGTTGAGGTGACAACTAAGAGGGGATTTCCCCCATTGTGGAGTGATTTTTCTCTCACTTCCTATTGTATCTATGAGATCATACAAATACAGAATCAGCATGTCAAAGTATTTAACTGAAAGTTTTTTATTTTAAGTTTTTCTTGTGCTACAACTGACCCTTTAATTTCTGCCTTACTTGAAGTTGGTACTGCATGAGTACTTAGGTGGCTTTTTTGTCTCACAGGAAAGGACAAGTGCAAAATGTATGCCAACTAACAGAGTCCCTGACACTGCACACACAGAAAGAAAGAGGCGAGACGTGGAAGGAAAATACTGAAAACAAGATTACACCCAAAGAAGAAACAAAAATAGTAGAAGAAATTAAAAAGAATGAAGAGAATGAGGTAAACAATAGACATGTATCAGTGGGTCTGCTGTGACACTGACATAGCATGCAGTACAGTCCATAAATATTTATAATAATTATTCCTCAAAAAATTATATATATATATATATATATATATATTAATTAATAAAATATATGGAGGAGATTAATGGAGGAAATTTACTAAAACAATTCTGCATAGAAACAAATCAGCTTTTAGGTTTTATTGTCAGAGCTTAATTGAACAAGCTGAAGTTAGAAGCTGATTGGCTAACATACCTGCACCAGATTCGGAGTGCTCCACTTTTAGTAAATCTTCCCCAATATGTCATCATTTTTCAGGACTCAATACATCTAAAGTACGCAAAACCCTATCCCATGTTCTATGTACACCTCTTATGCACAAACAAAAGACTTTTTCTGAGTGGTAACGAGCATGTTAGTGTTGTATAAAGTGCAATAAAGGTAGGTCAGATTTATCCAACTAACTAACACTTCCAGAGATGTACCGATGAAAGAGTTATGCCTTTACATATTAGGCATTAACTGGAAAAACCTTCACAATATTAATGGCCAAATAGGCAGCTGCATTGAACAATATCACAAGCAATGAAGAATGGCTGACATTCAGTAACAAAAGATTCAATGCATTTACCCAAACTTAGTGTTTCTGGCTTGAATTAAGATGAACTGATAACCTAAAACCATGCTATGATTTTTTTTAAATTCCTGTCTCCTCTCTCCACTAATCTCTGTACTTACAGGCTCTGTTTCACCCATGAAGTTGCATTGTTTTCACCTTTACCAGGCCAGATTTGCTTTGAATGCTTATATTTCAACTAAGCGGTTATTTTCTTCCTAGTCCTCTTTCCTAACCTTATTTTTTTGTGTTATTCCTCTTCTTCATTTCACCCTTCCTTCCCTTTTTTATTTAAAAAGAAGAGAAAATCCCCTTCCTCCAATTAAACAATGTGAATCAAAAACATAAAGAAAATAAAGAAAAATACATGATGGGACTGATGGAAGAAATAGAAGATACGGTTATTAGCTGCAGGCAGGATAGGCTTCCCTGAAGAAATAGGTTTTCAAGCATCACCTAAAAGTGGACAGAGTAGGTGATAGTCGGATAGATTGGGGTAGAGAGTTCCAGAGGATGGGGGAGGCTCTGGAGAAGTCCTGGAGATGAGCACGAGAGGAGGAAGCAAGGGAGCTAGAGAGCAGGAGGTCTTGGGAGGTCTTTGTTTTTTTGAGGAGGAAGGATGGTCCACAGTGTCAAAAGCCACAGAGAGTTCTAGTGGTAAGAGTATGGAGTAGTAAATCATTAGTGAGTTTTAGTAGGGCAATTTCAGTGGAGTGTAGTAAGCAAAAGAAAGACTGTAAGGGGGTCAAGAAGGTTGTTGTCAGTGAGGTAGGAGCTCAGACGATTGTAGACTAAGCTTTCTAAGGGGTAAACGGGAGCAGGGAGATAGGTCTTAAGTTGTTCAGATTGGTGGGGTCCACTGAGGGTTTTTTAAGTATAGGGGTGATCAGTGCATGTTTTAGAGAAGAGGAGAAGGTGCCAGTAGAAAGGGAGAGATTGAAGATGTGAGTGAGGGAGCATAGGACAGAAGAGGGTGACCATAGCAGTTGTGAGGGAACAGGATTCAGGGGACTGATGGTAAGATGGGTTCTGAGAAACCTTAAGTGACCTCTTTGGTAGTAGCAAGGTCAAAAGGCTTGTTTTGCCGTATGGAGGGAGAAATTGCATTTTAAGAAGGCAGATTTAAAAAGGATGACTGCTTGCTGGGTTTTGGTTTTACGCCACAATTGCTCCAGTGCACGGCTATGTCTCTTAAGATTTCTGGTGTCGTCAGTCTGCCAAAGTTGTAATGGTCGGGGCCTGATACTTCGTGTAGTTAGAGTAGCAAGTGAGTCCAGTGTGGATGAAAGTGAACTGTTGTAGACAGAAGTGGCCAGATCAGAGCAGGACAGGGAAGATATTCTGTCATAGAGGTGTTCAGTTGCAGAGTAGAAAAGAGAAGGATTAAAGTGGTGAAGGTTTCTGAGGGTAATTGTTTGCTGCTCGGAGGGATAGGTGGTTGAAGACAAGGACAGTGTGAACGTGATGAGGTTGTGATCAGAGAGAGGAAAGGGGGTGTTGGTGAGGTTGTAGGGAGTGCAAAGATGGAAGAAAACAAGATCTAAGGTATTTCCATCAGAGTGAGTGGAGGACTATGTCCATTGTGTTAAGGCAAAATAAGAGGGATGTAACTGGGATGTTAACATTAATGGGGATGTTAAAATCACCAAGAATAATGGTGGGTATTTCAGAGGAGAGAAAGTAGGGTAGTGAGGCAGAGAAGTCATCAAGAAAGCATCACATTGGTCTAGGAGGCTGATAGATCACTGCAATCCTCATAGAAATGGGAGAAAACAGCCGTATGCAGTGAGTCTCGAAAGAAGAGAAGCATAGAGAGGGAGGGGTAGGAAAGAAAAGCAAATAAACTCCACCTCCTTTCCGACCACTGGGTCTGGGTGAGTGAGTGGGCCTACAGAAGCATTTTAAAAAATAAAGTTGTTAAAAAAAAAAAATTTAATTAAAAAAAAAACATTGGCCTGTGACTTCTGATGCTTTGCCATAAGAATGCTCTCCAATCCAATTGTATGGGTGGAATTTTGAATTCCCAGCTTTCACAGAAGATAGCAGTGAGGCATCATGATGTCACCTGTACTTTTCAGAAGCATTGGAAGCCACGGCTAAGGTAAGTATTTTTTTCTAAACTTCAAAATGCCTATGTAAGTGATCTGTTTTTGGGTGTTTGGGGTTTTCAGTAGAGTGGAGTGGACCTTTCATTTTTATGGGATGTCTACTTCTGAGTGTTCTTATGAAAGTTCTATAGGACCTTCTTATACTTGAAAAATAAATACTTGAATATTGCTCACTGTTAAGCAACTATAGTTTGATATACACTGTACAATATTTGTAATACATGTACTGTGTGGATTCTGATATTCTTTAAAAAATGGATTTTGCTGTAGTCACGTTAGCTTTCAGTGCACAAGGGAAATTCCTTAACCCTGGTTAAAGATTAACTCAGTATATGGAACTACCTTGGTTTAAAAAAAGAGTTATTTTTTTCTAGTTAAAAGGTATAGAACAAAACACACTGGTCTTATGTAACACAATTCATTTAATAGGTGAATATTTATGAAGAATTCCTCTCACCATTAGAATGTAAAATCAGTGATTATCTGTGGCCTAGAGATGGTAAATCTGATGTGAATTTCTAGATGCTGACCTGGAGCGAATGGTGACAGTCTTCTCCGCTCACCGCTGCACTCACCTGTTTCTTTTTTCGCCTGTGTTGTACTCATGCTTCATAAGGATAATTAGCAACCCCCACCCAGAAAAGGCATACATAAATTTTAAAAAAAAAAAAAGTAGTGATTTTTTAAGCAGATGTGATTGGACCCAAATTACCTTGATGTATGTCTTGTTTTGTAACCTTGATACTATCATTTGTGCATTGCTGTTTTTCCCATCTCAAACCAGTATCCAACATCGTATACAACATTGCATATTTACATATATAGCAGATATTTTATATATCTATTTATATGTATCAATGTTACTTAAAGTGGAACTGCACTGCATCTGAGCACCACAAACCATAAATGCTATGCAATTCATATTACTCAAAGGAAACTCCCACATCCATCCATGTCTCCATGCTTTATTTTGCTGAGAAATCATTTTGAAAAACACTCCCTAGCATTTCTGTTCAGGGTCATCTTGAGTAAGGGCAGATGATTCATGTAGCATTTACATCCTGGAATTCATCTACCCTCATCAAGCATTGGCTGAGCTGAGAATCCTTGCTCCCCTCCTGGGATGACTCCTGGGATGTACAGTATGAATTTTCCAGCACCTGAATATTCTGGAAGCACTTTGAGGTGGCCTGCCAGATTGGTATCCAGTCATCCAACGATAAAGATTCTGTAGGTCTTGAGACCACTGACCACAGTAAGAAGGCTACACCTCCATTAAATGGTCATGGATGGACCAATAAAGACAGGGTGCCTTTATTGCTTGAAGAGGATTTACATATTGATTCAAATCTTGTAAAGTCTTTTGGAGAATCAAGGTTTTTAACCAGGGGTTTGATGAAATGACTTTGAAGATACTAAAGTTCAGTAGAGGGGATGAGGTAGTTAACACAAAATTGGGCAAGTGTTCACAACCCTTTTACTGTCAGCATTGACTGATTTGTCTCAAAACTCTGGAAAATCCATCAAGAGAAAGAAACCTTATCTGATATTCCTGGTGGAAATAAGGGACAGTCAAACATTTGGAGAATGGACAAATGAGGGTATAATAAACCCACAGAATACTTGCAGGAATCCCACATCTTCATTGTGTACACCAAGATTGGGTTTAGCTGCCTCTGCCTAAATGTAGGGGGAAGCCAGGGAAGGGAGGTTATATGAGTTGGATGGACCACCATGACCCAAAGTGGGAAGACTTGTCTGGCATAGAATTGAACTAATGGTGTTATTTGCTCTGTCATATAATAGTGCCGTATATTTGGGATCCTGAGTATTTTAGGGTAAAAGAGAATGTGGTGTGACAGTTGCGGGTGGCCTGAAACTTGTCATTGTAATATTCCTTTGATATGGAAGGGTATCCGAACCCTAAAAGAGTAAAGTAGTTTTGGGAGATATGACATGGATGCTACCGAACCATGACAAAGACATATTGTTCTAAGAGGAAAGCAACTTCCTCAAGTGTTGTAATAGTGGTGGTATGTTAGCATTATAACGTGAATCATATGTAAGTGTAAGGATTATTCCCAGGTAGAGAAGAGCATTTGTCCATTGATATGGAAATTGGGTTTGAAGATGGTGTTGTATTGCTTGGGGTAAGGAAATTTTCATTGCAATAGATTTATTTGAATTGACATATAGGCCAGAAAGTCCTGTGAAGCGTGCCAGAGGGCTGTAAGAGTAGGAAGCAAATTAGTCGGTGTTGTTAGATATAGAAGCATATCATCTGCAAATAGCGCAGCTTTATGATGTACGCCCACTAATTTCAAGCCTGTGATGTTAGGATGAAGTCGGATTTGGACTGCCAGGGGTTCAAGTGCCAGCATAAAGAATATTGGTGACAATGGGCATCCCTGTTGGGTACCTCTTCGAATGGGAAATGGAGACTGTACACCCTGGTAGCAGAGCGATACTGATGGGACACTGTATATTGTGGAGATCCATTGCAAGAAATCATCGCCCAACGCTGTAGAGTCAAACGCATCCAAGACAATGTATCAAACACTTTGTTCATATCTAGCGACAATAGTATAAGTTCTTGGGAGACCATATTTTCTTTTAGGTTTTTAAAAAAAAAACAACGCTCTTCTTGTTGTGGCCATATATTGTGTTAATAAAAAAAATAGTACACTTTCTATTTAATTCCCTCTGTCCTATTGGAGAACAATGTCAAACCTATATAAAATACAAAATGGAGATTTAAGTGTAAAGTAGCACACAACAAGATTTATTTTATAGTCCTTTTCCTACTTTACCTGTTACTGATTTTGCAATTGCTACAGTTACGTGCAAATTTGTTTAAACAAAAAAGTTAGATTAGCTTTTAGTTTTGTGCTCAGACTATGACTCAGTGTCACATTTCCATGACAGTAGTGGAAGTCCCGAATTGTTCACATGAGGTAAGCATCAGGAAATGTTTTACAGATTTCTCAGGTAAATATTTCTACTCCATAATGCAAGAACTTAGTCATATTGATTTTTGAGCAAAAGGTTAAGTCCAGTGAATTACATTTATTACTAAGAAGTGTCTTTATTCAATTTGTATAAATTGATAGATTCAAATCTTAACAAATAGGCCCCATACTTTGAAAGTAAATACCATAAATGGTTATTTACAATGAAACTATTTTCTATAATAGAACAACTGAGTGTAAAGCTGGTCGTAGATGGAACAAAATTCAGCCGTTTCAGCAGGGACTGGCCAAATTTCAATCCATCTATGTTCCTGTTCTTGATAAGTTGATTTAGCAATCAACTTCTCGTGAATGGGCTTGTTGGAAAGTACTGCTTCAATCAGCGCTGCAGCGCTGATTAGTTTATTCTGCCAGCGGGGGAGAAATTCCCATAACCACCAAAAATGTGTGGATGGGGAAAATGGTTCAGTTTTCTAATTCAGCCATTGGCTGAATCTTTTCATTTAGCCCACTGGCTGACTATATGACCAAGCTGCGGCTCCATGTGTGAATGGACACATGGAGCAGCAGGTGCCCCCATAGCAAGCTGCTTGCTCTCGGGGCACCCGACAGGAGCAAGGGGCCAGAAGAGCCTGCGGAGGAACCCGAGAAGAGGAGGATCCAGGCTGCTCTGTGCAAAACCACTTCACACAATAGGTAAGTATAGCATGTTTGTTATTTTCCCCCTAAAAAAATTAACATTTAGAATGGCTTTAAGCCTGGGAGTTATGGCAACTCTCTGTGACTCCTCAGGAACAAAATAATGTATGGGCAGCACAGCGCTTTCATGGTTAGCTCTTCTGCCTTTCAGCACTAGGAAACTCAGTTTAAATCCCAACCAGGACACTAGCAGCATGGCATTTTTTGTGTTCTCCCTGCGCTCATGTGGGTTTATGCTGTGTACTCTGCTTTCATCCCACATTCCATAGACTTGTTAGTAGTTTAACTGGTTTCTGTCTTAATTGACCCTAGTATGTGTATGTGAACAAGGGACCTTGGATTGTAAGCTCCTTGAGATAAGTGTGACTGATATGAGTGTACAGTACAGTATGTAAAGTGCTGCATAAATTGCCAGCACTATATAAATAACTATAGTTAAAAAAGTTAAAAAGGGGGATTTTGCCAGAGAGAATCTGTAGTGCATGGGTCAGGCCACTACAGCTACAGACAAAGATGATTCCAGTTTTGCCCATAGCATCCAGCATAACTGAGAACTTTTACCTGGATAAGGTAGAGGAGGGGGCCACACCTGCCATAGCTAAGGGAGACTCAGAGAAGTGTAAAGACTTAAAGGGGAAGTACAACCAAACCTTGTTTGGCTGTACTTCCCCTGTGGATCACAGGAATGCAGTTTGTTCTGTACTCCTGTAACCCATTTTCAGCCGACAGTGGGCTAAAGTTTGCTGTCGGCTAACGTCACTTAGCTGGTCCAGGCTGGGGAAAGATCCTGACTTTAATTTCCAAGGAGCAGGGCCCTCCTAACCCTCTTGTATTGAACTGTATTGTTGCTGTATTGTCTCCCATTATATTGTAAAGCGCTGAGCAAACTGTTGGCGCTATATAAATCCTGTATAATAATAATAATCTTAGATTGTAAGCTCCAAGGATCAGGCCCTCCTAACCCTCTTGTATTGAGCTGTATTGTTGCTGTATGGTCTCCCGTTATATTGTAAAGCGCTGAGCAAACTGTTGGCGCTATATAAATCCTGTATAATACTATAATATAAAAGACACCCCAATGTCTGGACTGGCATCTGGCTCAGCCTCTCAGTGATTCGCTGAGAGCCTGAGACAGCTGCTCCCTCTCCCTTCACAGCCCATTGCTCCAGTGAGCGCTGGGGGTTGAGGGGGGAGGTAGAACAGTGATTGACAGTCACCAGCTCTCTGCTCATGGATCATTGAGAAGTAAGCGATCAGTGGTGTTTGATCACTCAGTTCTCTCTTACAGTTGGTGGGGGACAGATGCAACATCGGACCAGTCACCTTTTAACCAGAGGGCAACAGTCCAGGCTGTCTGTGTCAGGTCCCTGGGGAGGGATACTGCAGGCTGCCCCAGAACTGTTAGTGAATTGTGTACTGGAGGGGCCTGATGTACCTGGTTTTCTTAATTGAAAACACCAGGTAAAAGCCTTGAGTAATGAAAAACCCACTGCTGAAAGTGGGAGAGTTTTAAAGGAGAAGTACAGCCAAAGCTCTTTTGGCTGTACTTCTTCTGTGGATCACAGGAGTGCAGTTTGTTCTGCACTCCTCTGACCTGTTTTCAGCTGACTGCGAACTTCAGTCCGCTGTTGGATGACGTCACTCAGCTGGACTAGGCTGGGGAAAAATCCTGACTTCAAAGTCGGGATCCATCCCAGAGTCTGGAGCGTTACCTGGCTCAGCCTCTCAGCAAAGCGCTGAGAGGCTGAGTCAGCTGCTCTCCCACCTAGCACAGCCAGGGGAGAGAGAGCGGCTCTCTCCCCCTGAGACAATGGTGACTGGCAGTCCCTCTCTCTGCTCATGGCGGCGAGGAGAATTCAGTGATTGGCAGCCATGTGTTTACTGAGTTCTCACCCTTAGAGTCAGCAGGGGACAGATGCAGTATTGGACCGATGCTGCATTCACCTAGGTAATTATAAATAGTAAAAAAAAAAAAAGAAAGCCATACTTCTCTTTTAAATAGCTAGAGGTGACCAGGTGACTGTAGGCTGCAACAAGGACTAACAAAAGACTAAAATAAAGACAGTTTACAGCCTTACCTTGCCACTGCTAATAAACATTATGCATACTACAATAAATCACAGTGTAAATACCTCTTTTTTAAATTTTCAGTGGTACCTGATCACACAGCTCTGTTTGCTATGTGTCAATGAGAGGCTTACTGTGGCTAGTAGGAGGGGACTCTCTACCCTCTTGAGAACAGATAGCATACCGGACTGAAAGAGAATTCAACCTCGTTATCAAGCCACTCAAGGACACACAGCAACTTTATTTATTTTAGCCATTTCTTCTACTTTAATTTTACAGCCTGCTAACCCTTTCCAAAGAACCAACGGAAAGAGATCAATAATGATCACCCTCGTGGTAGCAGTAAATATAGTAGCTCCTGATCCTCAGCCCATACAGCAATCTTATTAAAATGTCTTTGAGACTGGGTCACACTAGAGGTTGTGCATGGCTCTAGACCTGGAAAACATTTTGGACCTAAAACACAATACTGGAGACTGGGGTTTGAAAGTAATCTTTTGGCACTGCTTGTGGCACATTCCAGGCAGGCTCTGAAATCTTCGGTGAAATCAGAATGGCTGCATAAAGTGCCTAGTTCAGCAGCATGTAGAAGGAGTCTTTATTAAATAGGAAAACAATGCTTAAATAGGAAAAAAATGGCTAATAAAGTTCCTAAACTTTTCTCAACAGAGAAAAGACATCCAACCTCCTAGGATACTATCAAAAACAGAAATATGCTGGAAGTGGGAGGGGTTATACCTTGCTGGCCAATTACTTTTTTGTTTGCAAGTGTCCAAATCCTCCTGTAGGCTGCAGCAGAACTCAATCTTTGAAACACTGAATCCTGTGTCCCTAAATCAGTGTTTCTCAGTCAAGGCATCCTTTAAAATTATGGACAGTCCTGAGGCACCCTTTAAAATTATGGACAGTCTTGAGGCACCCTTTAAAAGTATGGACAGTCTTGAGGCACCCTTTAAAATTATGGACAGTCCTGAGGCACCCTTTAAAATTATGAACAGTCCTGAGGAACCCTTTAACAATTATGGACAGTCTTGAGGCACCCTTTAAAAATTATGGATATTGTTGAGGCACCCTTTAAAATTATGAACAGTTCTGTGGCACCCTTTAAAATTATGGACAGTCGTGAGGCACCCTTTAAAATTATGGACAGTGGACAGTCGCGAGGCACCCTTTAAAATTATGGACAGTCTGGAGGCACCCTTTAAGATTATGGACAGTCCTAAGCACCCTTTAAAATTATGGATAGTCTGGAGGCACACTTTAAAATTATGGACAGTCTGTAGGCACCCTTTAAGATTATGGACAGTCCTGAGGCACCCTTTAAAATTATGGACAGTCCTGAGGCACCCTTTACAATTATGGACAGTCCTGATGCACCCTTTACAAATATGGACAGTCCTGGGGCACCCCATTCTAAAATGGGGTGCCTCAAGACTGTCCATAATTTTAAAAGGCACCCCATTCTAAAATGAGAAAACGATTCTAATTGTTTTATATAACACAGCAACATCTATACATGTAGGGCACCCAACATTACAGGTGATTTATTCTTCCAAAGCAAATACACTTTTGCACACTGGTACTGAGTAGTATTCCAGTGTTTCTCTTCTCCCTAAGTTTTTCTCCATCACTAAGCTAGTGTAGCCCCAGCGCTGTTGGAGAGGGGCAGGGGATAGCCATAATTTTAAAAAGGCACCCCATTCTAAAATGTGAAAAAACTATTCTAATAATTTTAAATAACGCAGCGACATCCACACATGTAGGACACCCAACGTTAGAGGTGATTTATTCTCCAAAGCAAATACACTTTTGCACACTGGTACTGACTAGTATCCCAGTGTTTCTATTCTCCCTCAGTTTTTCTCCATCACTGGGCTAATGTGACCCCAGCATTGATGGAGAGGGGCAGGGGAGGGTCAAACTAGGATGCTGTGCAGGTAGCTGACATCCTCCTTATCAACTGATGTTATTGGTTGTCAGGACGCCAGTGGTTAGAAGGTCTTAATGGTGCACAAATGAAAACCTGTGGCTTTGTGTAACTAAAAGGCAAGCTTGTTCCACCCTCTGGCTTGTATACTATTTTTTTGGGCAATTTTTAGACATTTTGCCAAGGCACCCCTGAAGAAACCTTAAGGCACCCCAAGGTGCCTGGGCACCCTGGTTGAGAAAGGCTGCCCTAAATAAACGAGAGGGAAAAAAAAGTTTTCTACACAAAACCCATTACACGTTTTCCTTTAAGAACTAGCCAAACTTTGTTATACTCACAAGATTCATAGTGTTCCATAAAGCAGAAAAACGTGTTTTTTCATGTGGCCCCTTGGTTATTTCACTATCAAGCATATGTTGCAATTTTTTTTTACGTTTTCCCTCTTTTTCTGAACCCAGCTTGTATCTCAGGAGGTTTTCAGTGCATATGACACTGATGACTAACCCCAAAGTGCATTTTCTTCCTAGCATGTGCGACAAATGCAGCTATTTGGCAGTTAGATTTTATTTATTATTAGACTTTTTTTTCGGCATGGCCTTTTTTGGTATTGTTAAATAAATTAACGTTTTACATTTCAGTGGATTTTCTATCAATAATTCTAGAATCACTTCACTAAATAATTGTACCCACCTTTGCTTATCCAATGCTACTGCTCATCTACACTGACCCTGAGTGTAAACTAACAGACTTGGCCTGAAAGATTTCTGTTAATGTTTCACTTGACCTGTGTCAGAATTTCCCATGGTATGTCCTTGCCAGAAGTGAGCCTCAGAGACATTGCTTCCTTAGTGTCATTGTTATTTATAAAATCTTCCTGTAAGAACTGGTCAAACAAGTGTGACTATAAAAATGCAGAGCTAAAAATAAAAAGATCTACATGCCATCAAATAGTGAAGATAACTATGTCATATTTCTCCTGTTTATTCTGACTTCCAATTCTGCTTTGCAATAAATGAATGCTGCTTCGATGTATATGCTATTGTCAAGTCATGTGAATCCTGACTCAGTTCTCCTCAATGTGTGTGGATAAATACAGAGCTAAAAACACACATGCTCAGAGGCAAATTGAAGATGTAATGGCCATGGGTGGCTATTCTTCTGCAGATAAAGTTGTTTAGTAAGTTGCAAAGTTTTGCTGAACCCATATACCCTGAACCCATGTCAGCATACATTATAGACTTGCCTACTGGGGCAATTTTAAAAAAAATTTTGCACACGTGTTAAAATATGCATTTTTTTTAGCTAGAAATTACTTAAAACCACCAAAAAAGTATATATTTTCTGAAAGCAGGGACACTGGAGAATAAAATGGTAGTAGTTAAATTTTTTTGTCTCTCAATATTTGTGCAACTATTTATTGTATGCACATATTCAGGAGAAAATACACTAAAATTACTTTTGGTGCACTCAAACAAACTATTATATAATAATATTATACCCAATATTGGTAAAATATAAAAGCTGGGGTTGTGTTCAGTAAAAAGATGCCAAACATACTGTATCAAACCTTAAAATTGTGCCCGTGAAATCATAAAAACTATGGTACCCAAAATTCTCTATAAGCAAAACTTTCTAAGCTGATAACCTGTAAAGGCTTTTAGTCAGCCATGAACTGTGGCCCTATAATTTTTGCTCTCCTTTCAATTTTCATAATTATACCTCACATGTATTGTGCAATTGATGTTTATGGGGTGTGTACATGGGTGAGGCAGTTTAAAGTTTATTTCTAGTTATTTTTAATTATTTTTAGTTTCTTTTTTATTTTTTAATTCTCTGTTCTCTTTTTTTTTTTTTATCTTTATTGCTAATATAAGGGTATTCTGTGTGATAGCATTGGGCAGATGACAAGTCCTCTTTACAGAGATATCAGGGGTCTATTAGACCCCAACTGTTTCCCCTTCCTTCAGCCAATCAAGCACAGATTATGCACCTTCAGAGCACCATAAAAGTGATCGGATCACTTTTATAGTTAATCCCTTCACCAGCTGGTAAAGTTGGTACCAAGTTTACATTTGCAGTAGCAGATATGAGCTTGCTTTAATCCATTTCTATCTTGCCGTTTATAAATGCACCTTGGTGGGCATGTGCTTAATTATGGTGGTTCTCTCTCTATGGCTTCATGTACATGAGCCTACACTGACCGCCGGCCACGGGAAAATGGAAACTGCGGTTTTTCCACGTTTTGCATTTTGCCACGGTCGGCGGTCAAAATCTTCCTATCCTGAACGCAATTCTTCCTTGTTCAGGAGAGGTAGGTTTAATCTCAGCTAAACATGGCTGCTCCTAAACTCTGCTAAAAGCCTACTGTACGTGTACATGGACACATAGGATTTTATGGAGTTGAGTTTAGGAGCTTTGGAAAAAAAATGCCAAAAGTTACTAAACCCGAGTTTAGGAGCTACTCATGTGCATGAAGCCTAATTAGCCCATTTGAACAAAGATAAATTATACCAACACTAGACGTTCCTGCTCCTGAGTGGTACCACATCTCAGCCATTTTAGGTTCCTTGATTACCTTCATAATACTCCAAAAACATGGCCAAATCCACAGGCCAGTTTGAGATTAATAAACCATCTTCCCATGTCAAAAATAAGGTACAAAGACTCATTTAAAAAGAAAATTCCAAGTATGGATTTGTGCAGACTAAAGGATTTAGTATTAGAGAGTATAGTTTCTTGGATGCCCAGAAATCAACTTTAAGATCATATGTGCACATAAGATTCTGAATGAACACTGTCTGGGTTTACTGCAGGCCTATGCTCCTATCCAAAACCATATTGCCTTTTTTTTGTTTACCACTATATATTTTTGTTAAATATTTGTAAAATATTTTCATATTTGTAGGTTTAAACAAAATAAAATTCTTGATGAGCTTGTTTACTTTCAAACAATGTTTTATGCCACCCAAGGATTGTTTTTTTTAGCTGTTTGTTACTTCCATCTGTTTTTTTACTTCATCTCTGTTAGAGGAAATGGTTTTCCTTTCTGGCAAAAATATGCCTAAGTCTCATGTCTCAAAAGACGAAAAAAAAAAAAAAAATTATATATATATGTAAAGTGCTGCGTAAATTGATGGCGCTATATAAGTACCTGTAATAATATACACTATATTGTATATAGTAGCACAGAGTACATAAATACTCTGTGAATGTGAATTCTGTAGCAATTGGTTTAGCAGCTAAATTAAATTATATTGAAAAGGTGATTCCTTTTCGGTGGCTTTATTAAAGTACAGTGTATTTCCAGCCAAAACCTTTGTGTTAATTTTGGATGCAGTGGAGATGGTTTAGAACTTCTGTTGGGTTTTTACTGCTAGACATTTACCCTTACTTCCTATCATGCGAACAACTGTTTAAAAAATAAAAGTAAGAAAAACTGCAACAGGATAAAGTAAGAGTTACTGAAAATTAAACGAAGGAAATTCCAGCAGTAATATTTCTATAATGTTTTAAAAATGTATTTTTTTAAGCCAACAGTGACAAATACTGTAGTTGCTGACTTTTAAAAATCAGGTACTTACCAGTGCCCATGGTCCAGAGAGGTCTTCCTGCAGCCAGTTCTACTTACCTCCGTGGGTCCTCGACGTGCCACCTTGGGTGCGGGAATCAGCTGTGGCTTTCTGAGGTTCTGTGGTTGGGTTCCCACTGCATGCTCATGCTGCACTTTGTGGATGGTCTTGTAGCCTCCTGGGACATGTCACAAGTCCCAGGAGGACCTTCCCCTGTAGTTATTTGCAGCAGGGCAGGTGCTTGGCATGCAATTCGGAATATACATAACATCGGAACAATGTGAAGTAGAAGGATGACCATATATTTAATTCATATACCTTCAAAGTGAGGGGTCATTTAGACACAAGTCTAAGCCTCTGCATTCAAATTGCACAGGCTGGGTAATGTTCTCTGAAACAAATATTTGAATAGGTGGTCCCTGGGTTACAAACAAGATAGGGTCTGTAGGTTTGTTCTTAATTCGAATTTGTATGTAAGTTGGAACAGGTACATTTTTTAAGTGTCAAAAAAAAATATTTCTAAGTTGTTTGGATAGCACCCCTGTAATGTTTGTTCGTCTGTCCCTTTGACAATTGGATTTTGAAAATTGGGGTTTTTTGTGGAAACAAGGATTGGTGATAACCCTTCAGTGGAGACACTTTTTTCCCATGATAACTCTTACAGGAGTGAATTTCCCTTCCTTGAGGTAGTTTACTTTCTTTTATTCCCTCTGTTTGTAACTCGAATGTTCGTAACTCGGGGACTGCCTGTATGTGAATTCCTCTGAAGTTCTGAAAAGTCTGATAACCCATAACTTCCGTATATTGCACTATTATAAAACCTTGTGCAAAAGTCTGGTTGCGCAGAGATGAGATTATACATTTCCCTCAAAAAGA